CCTGTAAAGCCTATAGCCCCTAATGCTAACTGCCCAGTCATGGGACGAATCCCACCACGTTTCTGTTAGCCCTATGACATCTGGGTTTGAACTAGCTATTCTGAGGGTGAGTTCCTCCTGTTTATTCCCCATACTGAGAGCATTGGTATATAGGCATTTAAGGACTTGCAAGACTGCGTGTGCCACCCCCCGTTTAAGGAGACTGTCTGGACCCCCATTTCTTACCTTAGCACTCCTTGCCTTTGTCACTTGCCTTGCTTGGATGGTGTCTCCTCGTCTTCCTGCGGCCCCCTCCCCCAGCAAGGCTAGTTTAAAGCTCACCGTATGAGATCAGCCAACCTGGAAGAGAAGACACGCTTGCCTTTAGGAGAGAGATGAAGCCCATCCCACCCCAGCAAGTCCCCGGCCCGAAAGCATGGGTCATTATCAAGGAACCCAAAGCCTGCCTGGCGGCACCAGCTGCATAAGCACCGGTTGACCACGCTAATGCAGGCCTCATGTCGCCATCCCCACCTATTCACCAGAAGAAGAGAGGAAAATACCACCTGTGCCCCTGTCTCCTTCAGCTCGTCTCCCAGAGCCTTGAAATCCTTCATAATGCGGTCAGGGTTGCCCCTGGCCGCGTCGTTCGTACCCACATGGACGACAACCATGGGGTACTGGTCTGCAGGTCGAATGTAGGCCGGGATAGTTTCCATAATGTCCCTGACCTGAGCCCCAGGCATGAAGCAGACCTGTCATGTCCACTCCACTTGCTGACTGTCGAGTGGGGGGAGCAAATGCCCCCCCAACTCAGGAGGCACCAGTCGCCCATACAGGAAGTGTTGAATCAAAAACGTGGCATGGTAGAATTTTAACCTACAAAGCTAGGTCAGTAAGTACCACTTAGAATTAAGCCCTTAGAGTACTGGAAGTTAGGGTGTAGTTTGCGAACTCCCCATGTAGACACTTAAAGAGCATGGGTAGGCTGCATGGGGCAGCACAATGTAGATTACATTATAAACTGCCTGCCATCTAACAAGCCCAGGTAGCCTCTTTACATTTTACCAGCTACATTTAATCACCTGTCAACATTTCCTTCTTTTGTCCCCCCACCCAGCTACCTGTCTCTCACCCATTACTCCTATCCCCTCTGATTTTCCCTACCCTGCATTTACATTTTCACAGACCTTCATTTTGTATATTGGCTTAAGCTTCTATTTTATTTCTTTTTGACCCTAGAGAGTAGATCGGGGCAGGCAATTATTTTGGGTGGAGGGCCACTTACTGAGTTTTGGCAAGCTATTGAGGGCTGCATGGGTAGCCCCACCTCTTGACAGGTGCCCTGCACCCTGGTTGCTATCTTATGACTGGAAGTCCTGCCCCCTTTGCCACCAGAAGTCCCTTGCCTTGCCCCCAGAAGTACTCCTTTCAGCAAGAGGTTTTGCCATCTCAGAACCAGAAAAATACCAAATTATATTCTAAAAAGTGAACATCAAAAAGTTCATTAATTTGATAGCAAAAAATATTTTTATCCTGATTTATATGTGTTTGTGTAGTGTACGTAAAGGTGAGGGTATATAATAACTTAAAATGAAGTCTTAGTCTTTTATATTGTGGGGGGATACGTTTGTGGGGGGCTGTGGGTGTGTGGGTATGTGGGGTGTGGGGGAGGATGTGGGTGTGTCTGTGATTATGGGGTGAGGGAGCATGTGAGTG